ATCATTGTGTCCCCCAAAAAGATGTAAAGTCTTAACTCCCAGTACCTGTAAATGTACATTATTTGGAAATAGGGTCTTTGTGGCTGATCAAATCAAGATGAGGTCATTAGGGTGGGTGCAAATCTGATACGACAAGAGTCCTTAAACAAGGGGGAAATTTGGGCACAGATATACACTCTGGGAGAATGTACGTCATGTGACGATGAAGGCAGAAATAGGGGTGAAGCTTCTATAATCCAAAGAATGACAAAGATTGACAGCAAACCACCAGAAGCCAGGAGAGAGGCATGGAGTAGATTCTTCCTTGCGGCCTCAGAAGGAACCGGTCCTACTAACATCTTGATCTCACGCTTCCAGCCTCCAATACTGCGAGAATAAATTTCTGTTGTTCTAAGCCATCCGGTACGTGGCACTTTGCTATAGCTGTCCTAGCAAAGTGATATGATGGTCTACTGGGCAAGATAAGTGCAGGGCAGTTTCTGTAACTCGCACAATGGAGGTTGCATGGAAAGCCTTGGGAATACGGAGGGGAGGGCAATTTGTCCTGTGCAAGGACACTGGGAGGACCTCACAGGGCCAGTGATCTCCAGGCTCTCCCTTAAGATCTCAGAAGACAGACTCCATCGAGTGGGTGCACCAAGGCCACGAGGAAGGACAAGGGATGCTGAGCTCAAGGAGGAGGAGGATGTGGTGAGAGGAGGTACGCAAAGCACAGTGTCCACCCTCGACCTGTGTTCCCAATAGTGCGAGTGCTGGGGAGACAGAAAAATCAGCAGAAATGCACAAAATGTTCGTGAGAGACAGGAATAGAGGCATCCTGCAGCATCTGGGGAGGCACAATCTCAGCCTCTCTAATCTGACCCACTCCCAAAAGATTTTTTTTTCATTAGCCTTTCCAAAGTCATGGGTTAGCTTCCTTGTTAGTTCCATTAAAGTCATTAATTTCAAGCTCTTTTAAACCCACTATGTGCTCTCACTTTTAAAAGGCAATATCAACAATAATAGTGATACCCGTGAACACACTTCAGTCAAAGGGCAGAATTAGGATTTGTAAAGAGAAGAGCACTGATCTCTCCTTTCTTCTAGGTTCCATTCTACTCAAAGACAAACAGTGAAATGGATTTACTTTTGCTGTGTCCATACCTGGTATATGCTATGGAAAGATATTAGTCCAATGTTTCTTGAGCCTAGGAACGTGCCCAAGGTCAAGCAGAAATTCCAGATCTGAGTTCAGTGTAGGGTTTGTCTCCTCTGCATGCTGGACTATTTTGTTCTCCAGAAAATTCCTGTCCAGTCAGACTAGATATTAGAGGTTACACTCAGAATTATGCACGCTCTCTAAGCACAATTGCACTCAGCTGTGGCTCTGTCTAGACGCTTAAGTTTAAAAGGTTGGCGTCGCCGTCAGCTGCAGTGGCATGGGTGGTTTGTATTTACTGCCAAAGTGTTGGTCACTGGGTTTAGATTTCCATGGGTCACTGGTCTTGAAAGTCTAGGACTCAACTGGGATCCTGTCAGGCTTAGTATACCCTGTCCTCATGGAATCTTGAAAGGTGGCTTCTGTTCCTCTTTTAGTACTCAACTTAATCAGGTTTTTATCATTTTTGTCATAGAAATAACAACTAATAATTATTAAACATTTACTATATGCCAGTATCTCTGCAAAGACTTTTATACACATTTATTTTTAAAAATTACCATTCACTAATCATGTCTAGGCATCGAGCATGCATTGGTCAAGCGACCTGGCCTGCGATGACAATTTCTCATTTAATTCTTCGAACAATCTCAAAGCCTTTATCGCCCTTATTTTATGGATGAGAAAATTGAGGTTCAAAGGGGCTGACTAAATTGCACAGCCTCATTGCTGAGACTGAAAGCCACTGCTGTCTACCCCACACACCTGCTTCGTGTCGCTTTGCACTTCTTCCTCCTCTAGTACCATGTTGCTCTGCAGTTGGGCCATGCTGCTGGGCCGCACTGCACCCTCAGCTGGTTCACTAGCTGAGTTTCCCAAGTGGGATAAGGAGCACTGGGAGGAGAAGAAGGGAACTGGGTTGCAGCCACATTCACTGAGAAGGGAGAGAATAGACAGGCAAAAATGTTCTCGAGGATGGGAGTTAGGAAACAGAAAAACAGGGTCTCTAGACACAAGTGACCTCAATGACCCTCTGCTCATGCTGAACTCAGAATTATAGGAAAAGAAATCTCACCTACCAGAGCAGCTAAAATGCAGCATTGATTCCAGAAAACAGCTGCTTGAATAAACTCAGTGGACACACTGCAGGAACCTTCTGTATCTAAATTCCATACCCTCGTGGATTTCTAGCCAGTCCAAGTTGGCAACGCAGAAATCCAAGTTTTGCTGTGTGCTTGCTATTCAATACCTAGTCTTGTTCCCAGCTGTGTTCTGCAGACCTGCAAAAATTGAGCGAAATTCCAATAATGTCGGCGAGGTAAAAGCATCCGGTCCTGCCACGTCTTGGGCACACATGTTGGACCAATGGGGTGAGAGATGCAGAACCAGGTTTAACCCTCGGGTCTGTCCCGTATGACTGCTGTGGTCGTGGGGGGCTGATTCATCTTCCCTGAGCCTCAACTTCTCCGTTCTCCAAAGGGACAGTTCTACCGCCCTGGACTCTGGTAATGATTACGTAAGACCACGCCTTTGAAAGCCAGTTTTCGAAGCTTCCATGGCATTTCTCCTGCACATAGAGTTAACCACTCTTCTTGGCTTCCTCTTTATCTCATACACGTTTCTCAGGACTCTACTTGTTTCTTTACCTTAGCACTTTATAAGGACCTGTTTATTGAGATCACCTGTTCCTGTTGCTGTCATGTGGGCAGCCACTGCAGAGATAAATAGGCGTGCATCTCTGAGAGGAGCTCCCAGTCTAACCTGGGGAACAGATCAAGTGCAGATATTATCAATGCAAGGGCCGAGAGCTGTTATTGACGAAGGAACAGAGTCTGACAAAAGCAAGAACAGGGGATAATTCCCCCCAACTAAGAAAGTCCAAGAAGCTGTCTTAGACCTAAAGGAAGTGATATGTGAGCTGAACCCGGAGGGGTGATTTGAATGTGCTAGACTGAGAAATTAATATAAAGGTTCTCCCCAAGTCACCAAAGGACAGAAAGGTGGAGCAGAGAAAGGAACATCTGCCTTGAACTTGTCAAAAGGAGTACATTTGAATCAAGCCTTAAAGGATGAAGAGGGTTTGCTTTGGGAGGTGGAACATTGTGTTTCTCACTGAAGAGTGAAAATAAATAGTCATTAGAGATCCCAAGAGCGATTGAGGGCCCCAATCACAGACAGTTGAAAGGCACTAAGAAGCTTGGACTTTTTTCTGCAGAATCTGTTCTCATTCAAGGGAAGCAAAGGAAAGTAACCTGTGCTTTTCACAAACAATTTGAGCTAACTGTGGAAGCAGCAATGAAACTTTGAGATAGTAAATTCAGGGAGACCAGACAAAAGATGATGACATGATCCTGTGGCATATCCAGTGATAGATAACCTTCATTCATGTTTGATGGGTGAATGGATAAAGAAAATGTGGGAAGTGTGTGTGTGTGTACTCTCTCTCTCTCTATATATATATATGGAATATCCAATATATATACAATATTTAATATATGTCCAATATAGAATATCCAATATATATAACGGATTATTATTCAGCCATAAAAAGGACATTTGTGACAACATGGATGAAACTTTAAGACATTATACTAAATGAAATAAACAAGACAGAGAAAGACAAATATTGTATGATCTCACTGATATGTGAAATCTGAAAAAAAAGAAAAGAAGTTGAACTCATAGAAACAGAAAGTAGAATGGTGGTTGACAGGGCCTGGGGGGTGGGGGAAATGAGCAGATGTTGGCCATCTTGTAAACTTTCATTTACAAGATGAAGGAGTTCTGGAGATCTAATGTACAGTATGGTGACTATAGTTAATAATATTGTATTGTACGCTTGAAATTCACTAAAAGAGTAGCCCTTAAGCTTTCTCACCACACACATGAGAAGGTAACTTTCTGAGGTTATGGAAGTTTTAATTAACTTGATTGTGGTAATCATTTCACAATGTATATGTAAACAAAATCATCACACTGCACACTTTAAATATATATAATTTTATATATATATTATAAGAATTGCATAAATTGTCAATTGATACTAATTAGATCTCAATAAAGCTGGGGGGGAACAGTGAATGGTAATCAATCAGGGAAATTGCATTCCCCTTGCTGGTGATTGGTGAAATAGAGAAGTGTGATCCCTTGTTGGCCAATGAACTGTGAGGGGAGCTCTGGTTATTTCTAGGAAATAGTTCCACTCTCATTAAAGAGGAGTTACCCTTGTTATGGGCTGAATTGTGTCCTCCAAAAAAATCTGCTGAAATCTTAACTTCCGGTACCTGAAAATGTGAACTTAGTTGGAAATAGTGTCAATTTGCAGATGTAATTAGTTAAGATGAGTTCATTCTGGGGTAGGTTGGACATTTAATGTAAAATTTCTGGTGTCCTCACAAGAGAGGAGAAAAGATAGAGAGAGAAGAATGTGGTGTGAAGACCCAGAGACACACACACGGAGAAGACTGTCGCGTAGCAATGAAGGAAGAGACTGGAATGATACAGCTGCAAGCTAAGGAATGTCAAAGAGTGGCAGCAACCTCCAGAAGCTAGAAGAGGCAAGAAGGGATCCTCCCTTGCAAGTTTCAGAGGGGCTGTAACTCCTAGGCTCCAGAACTGGGAGACAATACATGCCCATGGTTTCAAGCCACCTAGCTGGTGATACTTTGTTACAGCGGCCCTAGGAACTCATATACCCCTTATTGTTGGGTCTACAAGTGGAACCAGCTTTGAACTGGCCATGTTGAACTTTGAGGGAGGCTGGCCTGGGCACAGTCCACACGCTAAGGAAGGTAGAGAGAAAACAGAAGGAGTCTGCATCCGTGGTTCCTTGACTGAGCTGATTCACTCGGAGCCTCTTTACCATTCAGCTCCTTGGAATGAGATGTAACATGGTCCAGTCCATTCGTGTTGAGATTCCTATTGTTTACCGATGAACACATCCTAACTTCCAATAAGGTTGAACTCTGGTTGAAGCTACTTGGTCCAGCGAGATGTGCATCAGACTGTTGCGGGGGGCTTTTCAACCTGATGCTCTGCAAAGACAACAAAAAGTTTTGAGAATCACCATCTTCTCATTCTTTGAGAATTTTGTGTGATTACTCAACTTGCTGATGCACCATGAGTTCAGTGCCACTCTCCATTTTCTCTCCTAAAATAACACATTACCCAGGATTTGTGTCTGCTCTGGTCCATGCTGTCTTCTAGTCCATCCTGTGCCTTACCTACGGGCTGTACTAAACAGGGCACTTTTGCTTCAGTGCCTTCATTTATTAAGCCACACTCTCAACACTTGCTTAAAATGCAGTCCTTAGTAAAGTGCATTTCTACAGACAGCATTGATTTCCTCCCTCATCCTCTGCAAAATGGTCAGCTCTCTGCTCCAGCTGTTGACAACAAAGGTGCTGGGACAATGGACTGACCTGTCTCTTGAAGCTCAGTGCCCACGTGGCTTTGATAGCTCTCTTCTTTCTGTCTGGGGACAGCGTCTTGAGGTGGCAGAGTAACTAGGATGGTGTAAGCCCCTCTTGAAATTCAACCAAGATGAAAGAGCATCTCTTGGTTGGGGCTAAAGTGGAAAATGGATCCACCATGGAGCAGATCCATAGCACTGCCTGGGTCACACCAGAGTTCTCTCTTGTGCCAGCATCAAATGCACCCCACCCACATCTCTGCTCCAACCACCGTAACACAGGAGCAACTCAGACACATGGCTGTTTCATCATTTTGTGGTCAAGATTTTGTGGGCTACACACAATGCAGAACAGTGAGAGCATCCATTTTCATTGAATGTGGCCCTGGCTCCACGCCTCTTGCTAAGGAATTTACATGAGGAAAAAAGAGAATATCTTGCTACAATAGGAAACAAAAAGTGGTACCATCATTATCCACAACTTGAAGATCGGAAGACGGAAGCACAGAGAGGTTAAATATCTTGCCCAAGATTACACAGTTGGTATGTGGTTGAATCTTGTGTTCATACTTCCTGGAAATGTATTTTAGAGTAAGTTGGACCAGAGAAAGCAGGAGCAAGAGGCAGCAGAGGTGACCAAGAACAGAGAAAAGAGAGGGGGAGAATCATTGCAGGCCAGGAACAGAGCTCCAAGTGTGAGGGGGAGCGAAACCTGGGGAGTTCTGTCCTGAGTAGTTGTAGGCCTTTCTGGGCTTTCACAAATGGAGACTCGTTTTATTCATAAAGTAAAGGGGGGGAAAAAAAAACTAAAGGGCTGGATATCCTATAGACCCTTGAGGAGTTTCACATACCTGCTGAATATAAATGGAACAGAACTAACGTTTTAAACTGTCCACTGTAACAGATACCAACCATGCTGGGTGCCTATGAGCACTACCTCATTCCTCTCCATTTACCTTTCTCAGGTAAAGAGACTGGGGCACAAAAGGGTTGAGAGCTGCTCCAAGTGCTATAGCGAAGAAGGGGCAGAGAAAAGGTCAGAACATAGGCTGGCCTGACGCCAGGGTGTGACCTGGCCCTGCTTGCCCAGCCACCTACAGGAAAAGTGGGTCCTGCACACAGCCACCAGTCTGTGTCATACCCAGGACTCTGCCTGCCAAGGGCAACCCACTCATGGAAAAAGACTTTGGGTCCCCTTGGGGAGCTCCTAAACCCTGAGTCCTTCCTGGGTGTGCCCATTTCCTCTGGAGCCTGACTGCAACATGCCAACCTTCCTGGGCCCCGGGGGCCTAGGTCCCTGGGGAGGACCCAGGCCAGCTCGGCATCTGGACAACTGGGAAAGGTGTATAGTGTGGGGAGAGGCAAATACACACAATGTATGGCCGAGGGGCTAGGGCTTCTTGCCATGGGAGTTCTGCACTGCTCTCTCTGTGTGCAAGAAGTGGAAAGAAAGAAGTCTGCATACAGATTTGGTCTTCTCTTTCTCTCTCGTTTGGCTTCTCCCTCTTAATCTGTCAACCTCTCTTTCTCTTTACTTTGGCACTCAGATTCTCAATAAAAATATGATGTCTTTCTTTCCATTTTTTTTCTCTTCTTTAATTGCTGTGTTTACAAAATGAGCTAAGGACATCAGAAGAGAAAAATACCGTTTGGCCAGCTTCATGCGAGCCTACCAAGTAGATGGAGAGATCACTAGATGTATCCATCGATCAATACATAGAAACTAGATAGACATGAGTACATCCATCTATCTCCACTTTTCTATCTATCTATCTATCTATCTATCCATCCATCTATCTATCTATCTATCTATCTATCTATCTATCTATCTGTCCATCTACCACCTAGTGGAATTGAGATAACTCTGTCCTCCAAGTATCTACCTTTGAAAGAGGAGGGGGAAGTTGAGCTTATACATTTGCCACGTGACCCTTCCGCTTCTCCTTGTGCAATCAAGCCGAATTCCATAGTGTCTCTATCATCGTGAAACTCTCCAGGGAGCAAACCTCCCTGGGTCGGGTGAAAGTATATCCACCAGGTCTTTTATTTTTACTTTATTTTTTTAAGGCTGAGTTCAACACTGTTGGTGGCACCGAAAGAAACCACTGCCACCAGTTGAAAAGTTAATTATGGATTGCTCCTTGAAATAAAACATAAGTTTTATTGGAAGTTGAGGATAAATAAAAACAGCTGGAGGGAGAATGTCATGAAACTGCTGTGACGAAGGCCATGATGTTCTACTTAGAGTAAACATTCCTTTTATTTGATTTTTTGAAAAGCCTGAGTAGGCTGCGTAAGAGTCAGCGTCCCTTTCATGTGGGACAAAAGAGGATTTGGAAAGGGAATTTTCTTAAATCTGTGCATTGAAAATGAAGCTTATGGGAGCCTAAAGAAAATACATTTTGCCTTTTCTTGCAGTGGGTTTCTCTTAATTGTGACTTGTATAAACCCCTTCTGTGGCCACCATAACCATTGAATTAACTAACTACATTTTTGTATGATGAAAAGAGCCGCTCACTGAACACACAACGATTATTAGAACGCCTCTGAAGTTTAGTGTTTGTTACTAATATGAGAGTCCTCTAGAAAAAATAAGATTTGATCAATAAAATCCTAAAATACATGTGAATATGAGTTCTATAAATAAATACTCTATAGTAGACGCAAAATCTCATTATAAGTAACAATTTTATTAACATGTCCATTGAGCAAAAGTCCTTATGATGTTAATGTTAAGAAAATTAATCTCCAGCCTTTCCATTCAACTCATAATTCCTGAGCTCCAAGGACCAGGCACTGTGCTAGGTACTGAGGTCACGTACATACGTGTGTGTGTGTGTGTGTGTGTGCGTGTGTGTATGGGCACGTGCTTTTTTCTTTAAGAGTTCACATTATGAGGGCTGGCCCAGTGGCACCAGCAGTTAAGTGCGCACATTGTGCTTTGGTGGCCTGGGGTTCACCGGTTCGGATCTGGGGTGCAGACGTGGCACTGCTTGTCAAGCCATGCTGTGGTAGGCATCCCACATATAAAGTAGAGGAAGATGGGCACAGATGTTAGCTCAGGGCCAGTCCTCCTCGGCAAAAAGAAGAGGATTGGCAGCAGTTAGCTCAGGGTTAATCTTCCTAAAGAAAAGAAAAAGAGTCCACATTATGGTGGGAACTGACTTTGTAGTTACATTAACAAAATAGTGAAACTAAGATTGATGGAGATCTTTCTGTATTCCAAGTTCTATCTAGGCACTTTACGTCTAGTATCTCATTTAATACTCGTGTCAGCTCTAAGGAATGAGCACAGTTATCTTCACTTTAGAGATGAAGACTCTGAGAGAAGAGGGAAAGCAAATTTTACATGGCCACCTAGATAGTAGCTGGTTAAGCTGGGGTAGATAGTAAAGCCTACATAACAAAACATTATATATATATAAAGAATAGACATCTATTTAGGTATCAAAGTCATAATGTAAAATCCATTGACTATATTTTAAAGGATTGGAAAAACGTTTCACTGAAGAGGAAATGCCGAAGCAGCTTGTGGAGAAGATCAGGTTCGGGGGAGAAAAATATCCCAGGAAGAAGGAGTAAAGAATAGAGCATGCAGAAAGATAAGCATTGGAGTGTTTTCAATAAAATCAACAACAACAAAATAAGAACCTAAAAGTTCAGTAATAGGAGAATGGTAAACAATTTCTTATATAGTCAGCCGATGGGCAGAGGGTCATAAAAAACTGCATTTTAGAATAATTCAAACACTTGCAAGAATGTTTATAGCACAAAGTTGATTGAAAAAAACAAATGTAAAAGTTTATGTTCAATATCATCACCATAATGTAAATAAACACAAGCATACAGGAAAAGTTCTAAAGGACAAACAGTATTTTGTCCTTGTTGTGAGATTATGGGTGATTTGTATTTCTATCTCTTTATTGTTCTGGAGTCCAAGTGTTACTTTTTCATGATGGTCAGATATTTCTTTCCTAATCTGAAAAAGTCATGAAAATGTGAAAGTAGCAAATGATTAAGGGGACTTGTGTATTTTGTCATCCTTTTCCTGGCTTTGATGTGCAAGAACCTGACCCCATTCCGAAAACATGTGTTACAGAGCCAAAGCACAGGTTTAGACACAAAAGGTCAGCTAACTCATAAAGTGGACTTGCCTTAGCCCTCCGGACCTTAGGGTTCAGCTGTCTGCAGAATGTATGTTAAAGCTGTCTTCTGCCTGTGGTGTTTCAAGGGATGGAGGAAACAAGGGTGGGATACGGATGTAGTTGTGACTGTGATGATACATACAAGGAAAAAAGCCATGGAGAGGGGTGGGAGGGATGGAAAGTTCCATAGGTTTCCAGGGCTATTCGGATATTAGCATATGATTATGGAGGCTCACCATAAGGTACGGAATCAGAGACATGACTTTCATTGTCATACCACCACTTTGAACCAAATAGATTGGCTGAACTACTCTCTCTCTCTCTCTCTCTCTCTCTCTCTCTCCCCCTCCCTCTTGGAGATGATTATCTTATGCTCAGAGATTTGCCCCAAATTACAAATCCAGGTAGAGGCAACCTAGACCTTGTTTCTTCTCCATTTGCACTTTCCACAATCCTCTAGTGAAACCTGGCAACTGTG